CACCAGTCTTCAACGAGGAAAAGGAGAACTTGCTTTTAAAGGAGGATGACAATGATTTGTCAGATAATAGTATTAGGTTAGTTTTCTTTATTGGTGAGCTTTGTAAGAACGATTTTTAGTAGTCCTTGTTCTTCAGACTCTTCTGAAGCCTTTGTTAAGACGGTTCGTTTTTTGCAAATGAGTGTTCTAAGCGGTGAAAAGAATTTATCATTTCCAAATAACACTGTTTAGCAAATGGCTCATGCGAAGATTCATCAAATTTCTACGCCAACTGCTGCAAATTTGAGAACTCCAAAGATCGATGTGCCTTCGCCGAAGGAAAAATCACCGTCAACTCCGATTTCTGAGTTGATAGAAGTGGCGAGCCAAGTGACGGAGAATTCAAAGGCCAAATCAAGCGGTTGGTTTTATGAAAGTTGACTTGTCAATTACATTTTCTTTAGAACAGCCGAAGTGTGAAACAGCCCAAAAACCCGTGCCTTTTCGAATCCCCAAGAAGACACAGAAACCAGAAGTGCGACTCGTCGATCAGATTCTCGGAAATGAGACGTTTGTTCAATCTCGGAGGAAACTGGTACGATAAATATTGATAGCACTGCGACTTAAGAATTACCTAATAAAAGCTTACGAATACGGGTTATTTTGGGTCAACGGCTCTTCCATTCAACCACAAAGCGAGCCATTAGATCATGCACCACTCTTCTACTCAACAAAAAGTCGAATTCGACCAAGGTAGTTATGATCACATTCTTTCACTTTGGTTTTTTAGTATTGTTGATGATCCAAGGCCTTTGAATTCGCAACGGTTTTCTGGATTTATCGAGCAGTATGACCTGAAGAATAAAATCGGCTCTGGATCTTATGGAAAAGTGTTCAAAGGACGTCACCGGGACACTGGTAGGGATTTTGAGGTGTATTTCTACAAAACTGTCAAGCGTGACGACATCGTTAATAGTTTATTTAGATCTAGTTCAAAAAGTTTCAAATTCTAAAAACTTCTAGGGCGTGAAGTGGCCATCAAAAATTTGTCACTTGAAGGAGAGAAGCAAGGATTTCCACTGAGTGCGATTCGGGAGATTAAGGTAAGGTCTTATAATGCCATCCTGACTTGACTCTTGTTTAGACTTTGCGCTTGTTGAACCATCGAAATGTAGTGCAATTACTCGATGTGGCCACGGACTCAAATCAAAATATTAGGGATCCAGAAAGTTTGTTTTTCTGGTGAAGCACTTATTATTCTTTGTTTCTAGGCGAAATTTTCTTGGTCTTCGAGTACGTGGAACATGATTTGAAAGGGCTACTCGAATCTGACTATTTGCAACTTAACTTCATCCAAGCGGCAGCACTTTTTCGGCAATTGTTAGAAGTTTGTTGCATACAACTCTTGTATAAATATTAGCTTTTAGGGATTATTATACTGTCATGAGCATAAAGTCGTACACCGAGACCTAAAGCCATCGAATATTCTTTTAAGCAATAGGTGGGTAAAGCTATTTAACAACCAGGTGTTCAATAATGTGTTTAGGGGCATTCTCAAGTTGGCAGATTTTGGATTAGCGCGGCAAATTGATCCGGAGAACACGCGCCCATACACGAAACAAGTAAGAGTTTTCCTGTTTTCTGTGCAACGTCTCTTTAGGTAGTCACTTTATGGTACCATTCTCCCGAATTGTTGCTTGGTGAAGAAAATTATGAGCCTAGTATAGATATTTGGAGTGCCGGGTAAACTCTTTTTTGACTTTGTTTAGCTGCATCCTCTTCGAGTTTTTTTCGCACGAACCCTTGTTCCGTGGAAAGTCCGAGAAAGTACAGCTCGATGAAATTTCAAAGGTTGTTTTGTTTTGTTTTAGGTGTGCGGCTCGATGATCTCAAGGGTGTGGCCAGGTGTAACTCTTCTTCCATCCTACAATATGGTTCCGAAGCAACACTTTGAGAGACGATTGAGGGCAAATATTCAAAAGTAAGCGTTGATTATAGGCAGCGGAAATTGTGAGCTATCCTCATTAAAATGTTTAGATGGATTCCGGAAGGTGCCGCTGATTTAATCGACAAGATGTTGACTCTAGATCCATCAAAGCGACTAACGTGCAGAGAAGCCCTGGACCATCGATTCATCGCCGGCATCAATTACAGTCGTGTAAGTTTGAAGGTTTTTCATTGAAGTTAGATGGTGTTCAATAAATGTATCTTTTTAAATTCAAATTAACTGTTTTGATATTTGTTACATGACTGGAATTTTTAGCTGGAGCCTCTTGTTTTGCCGGCTGATCACGAATGCAACGAGTTATGGCTGAAGAACGCCCGCAAGGAAGGGAGTTCAACTCTTGTCGAGGATATGCGAAGATTTTAGTGCGAATGGACTGCTTTTTGTTGTGTTTTGTTATAATTTTTCGCAACTGTTGCCACCTGGCTAATCGCTGGCTATATTTCGAGTGATCTACGTTGTTATGTTTAGTTACTTTAAAAGGAGCTTTGTTGTCACTTTTTGTTGTTATTGCGATAAAAGTTTTCGAATCATGAACGTGAAAGACAATTTAACTGCAATATAAAATTTTTCACAAAAGAGCTCTGTAATCTGCCTCCTTTGTAAAATCTGTAATCTTTCGATTTCATTTTCCAATACTTGAAATTCAAAATTTTATTACGAAAGCCTACATATTTCGACATAAAAAACAAATCACGTCGGAGAATTTAGTCATGAATTCAAAGATTCCATTCTTGTTAGAACCTGTTGAAGCCTGGAAGGTGCACATACAGGCGAACTTCAGAGTATTAAATTTTTTTCCATTCCAAAATTAAAAATAAAAGTCAAGACATCGTAGTCAAGACATCGTGTTAAAAGTCAAGACATCGTGTTTTTTGTTGTTTTTATAATAAAACGTAATGTTTTATAAAATAAAAAGCTAGGGTTGCCGTAAAAAAATTTTTTATTTAAGACCGACCGCGATCTGCACCCCCCTTTAAAGCAATTGAGCACAAATCCTCTTTTTAGTCTATACTTTCAGAGAAAAGAGCGCTTGATAAGAGATTTTTTTTTTGCCACCGGAATAGTCTCGAATGTTTCGTGGTAAGACAATAGGAAAACCCACTTACTATTCTTGTTACAATAATGCTAGAATTGAATTTCTGCTGATTCTGTGCATTATGATGCTTCTGGCTGCAGCGTTGCGGTAAATGATTAAACGTCTTTTGTTCATATTTTTATTGGCAATCTAGCACAATTTTCCTTTTACGAATAAAAGTTTCGTTTGCACACAAAATACGGGATTTCGACTCCGTCGGCCGAACCTGCAGTCACCCAATCATAATCTACACATTTATCTCCAGTGCAGTTGTCATCATCAATCTGAATATATTAACAACAGTTTATAATTTTGAAAAGTTATATCTTTGGGTTGTGTAGACCGTTTAAAAGCAAGAACTCTAACCAAAAATAATCAACAAAAAAAATCAACCAAAATCCACTCACCAAAATGAAGCGAGCGTCTCCCGATTCACAGATGGGCTTTTGATAGTCCCATGGAGTGCCATCAAGCCAAGACCAGGCTCCGTTTACCTATATGATCTTTGCTTTCTTTGCTTTGCATTTTGAACCCTTTTATGGGATTACTTTTGGGCGCCAATCATAAAGAGTCCCGCAGCACTCCAGCCGTCTCCATCTTTACGAAAAGAGCAATCCGAGTCACAGCAAAGATCTATGAATTGTTAAGATAAGCCTTTACATTAAAGGGCCACTTGAGATGAAATCGTCTTCGGCTTCGCTGTGCACAGAGGCTAGATGCCCGCCCTGACTGACACAATAGGCTTCACCCTGTGAGTAGGAGCTATCGAAGAAGACCTGAAATCAAAAGAGCTGCTATGATTGAAGTCATTTAACCGACCAAGTAGTAGAATCCGGTTGCTGGAAAGTACTGCCATCCCTTTTGACAGTTGTAAAGCTGTTGCTGAGCAGCTTAAATAAAGTTGAGTTGAGGGAGGAAAAAGGCTCTACCTGGAAGGCAGTTGAGTGGTGTCATTGTAGGGGTACTCCTGCCAGCCAATGATGCTGTGGTTTCCATGGTGGTCATTGGTGGATACGTGCAGCCACCATTTACAATTGGGGGTATGTTGCACCTATAGGACTTGGCTTCTCTGAGTTTGCCTTGCAACTCACATAAATGGTAGTTGATTGGCACAGTTGACGGTCACCCAAGCAGCTGATTCCCGTTGAATCACCACACACTCTAGCTGTGGTTCACCTAAATGATAAAAGTGACCACTCGGAATCTATATGTAGTTAATTTATGTAGTTAAGCAGCTTATAACCAGAAATCGGTTTGGCTCAATTTTTGACAGAAATCGGCCTAGTATTACCATTCTTCCAATTCGTGTAGTCAAACGCTGTCCCATCAGTCCACATATAAGTGCTCGCATTTTTCTTTGCTCCTATGTAGAACTGATCGCCGTTTATTACTAAATCAAGTTTTTTTTAATAAACATAAATTTGTCTACATGTATACGAAATTCCGGTCAAAAAGTTGTCCGTATCTCCGTCGTGAATTGAGAAAAGATGTCCGTCAAACGCCTTGCAATACTTCTCTGCCAACAAAGCGGAAACAACTAAATCGACTTCTTCAAGATCACATAAAAAAAGCGAGCTATACTATGATCGAATACAAACGGTTATTATCCGCATGAAGGCATGAGTTCAGCTCCTGGATGTACCTCGATCCAGCAGGGCAGGCAATAGCTAAAATCTCTCTATTAGTATGTTTCCCTACAAGTCATACGTGTTTGTGTGACGTCACAATTTGGAGTTGTCACATTTGGCAATTGACAGAGATACGGTAGATTGGCTGTACAGTCAATCGTTCGCCAGTTGTAGTCATCCGAGCTCAAGTAGATGCAATCACCGGTCGATGGTTGCCCTAAAGTTCTTTTGTTATAGGTAATTTTATGAAAGATATCTAAGTATTTCAATAAAAACACGAAACCGATTACCCGGTGCCCATTTTGCATAGGTGAATGGGGTGCCGTCGCTCCAATACCAGCTCCCGTTTTGTGCCCTTCGACCACCCAACCATCCATTTGTTCCATTGATCCCTAAAAGGAAATCATGAAATACAAGACCCAAGACAAATTATCAACTTGTCAACTGAATTCCGGTGACCAGGGCATTCTTGAAAGCATTTGATAGAGAGAGCAGATGACCTCCAAAAGCCTGGCAGTACATCTCTGCGTACGCCATTGGAGAAACTGAATGGATTAGTGGATTTTCTAGGCGTGACATCATAAAATTATCTAACTTGTGGTAATTTACATTTATGCAAAAGATACCATCGTTGTCTGGATGAACACAATCGCCAAGCTCATCGACAAAGAACGAGTCTCTGGGACAATTTTGTTGAAGTGAAGACCTCAACGTTACGGCCAGAAGTAATACGCTTAATCCTCTCATCGCCGATCTACCAAAAAGTGTAGAAATTTTATTTACAAGTTTTATATGATTGGCTTATCATAAAACATTCGAGCTTTTTTTTTACAAAAGAATGCCTTATCAGGGTCTCACTGTCGCCTCAAATTTTATACTAAAAAGCGTTTTTGCACTCGATGTCTGTTGGTTAAAAGCTAGAACATTTATGAATCATTTCATTGATTACGTATACATCTAAACATTCTTTTGCTCATCTCGTGATTTTAAGAACATTTATATTCGAGATGGATTGATTAAAAAGACTCGAGGATTGATTAAAAAGACTAAAAAGTGTCGAGAAAAGTGACTGGGCACAGTTTGATATGTGACTGGAAGCACATTTTGCATGAAAAACACTTTATTGTTCTTTGAAACTGTACAAGTTGTGTAAAATTGAGAACAAAAAGAGAATGGGATGAGCTTTTGCGAAACACAGCTTCTTTGCACAATTTGTTTGCAATATTGTGGTCTTTTCGATAAGGGATCGTCTTTATTCTATTCGAAAAGCTTTTGTATTTTCCCTCAATGCCATGTACTTTTTGAGATTGACCACAAATTGATCATGTAAGATCAACCAGATCATGTAAGATTGGCTAAATTCAAGAAAGAGTTGCTCCAAGCGGATGCTCATAGTCCAAAAGCTACCTTAAAATCACTAGTTATCAGAAAATTTTATACTTTTCAGGTCCGAAATTGAAAAACTAAAGAACAAGAAAAGTAAATTTGATCTGGCCCAGAAAAACTTTATGAAATAACCCTGGAATAACTCTTGATTTTCCAATAACAAATATGGCAACAGTTTTCTTCTTTAGGAAATGGCAGTGACCGCATCAATGCCACCTTCGAGCAGCCCGAATGCCTGAATGTCGAAGGCCAGAATGTCGTCAACTAACTTGCCTTCCACTAGCTAGTGCAAAATGAAATTGTAGCCTCTGCCATTTTTGGCCAAAACAGTTTTGGCACTAGGAGTGCCACCAATAGCCACTTCAGTTTTTCTAAAATTCGGTTTGAAAAGGGACCTTTTGAGACACCCTGTAGATTGTCAGCCAGCTGATATGAATGATTGGCATATTGACATAACTTGATTGAAAAATTGCAGTTGCTTTTGAGTTTTCAATTTGTCCCAACTCCCCTGAATACCACAATAGCATCCGGTGTCGCCGTCGTTTTGTTCTTTGCAAAGATGTGGCTGAACTTTAAGTTGTCGAACTACCGACATAAGTGCTTTTTAGTCTATGCGTTTGTCAAAGTCTATGCGTTAGCCGATTAGAATTGTGTATTGTTGTTGTCAATTGTACACATCAAAAAACCTTTAATACTTCTACGAGCACTCTAACAAATAGTAACAGGACACAACGAAATGGTTAAGCATTAATAATTAATAATATAAGAAAAAAATTACAATAAACTTTTTCTGTCATGAGCGGTAAATACTTTTTTTCACCAAATTTCTCAAAGTTATCTTCAATGAAAAGTGCATTTCATTGATATTTCTTGAACATTGAACATTGCTTGACAACACTGAACCCTGTATTCCATTAATTGCGAGCATTCCAGTAGTCTGTGCCATAAAGATTGGCCCACTTAGAAGAAGGTGGCGAGTTGGGCAAAAAATTTGGCGCAAAGTGCAATTCTTTGACTTGTTGTTGGGAAGATAACCTTTTATACTCCCTACAAAATTGTCGTTTTCTAAAGGGCACATTTCACGTCTGTCTAGGTTGTCACTAGAAAAGTCCCGTAGTCTGTGCCATTTTATTTTGTTTTCGCTCCCCCCATTTGTTTCTACATTTTTGGGTAAGAATCGATTGTGCTTCTTTCATTCGTCTTCATTTTCTGGATAAACGCTAAACAGCCTCGTTATTACGTCGATTCGTCAAACTTCTTCCATTGTCATTCGTCTTTTGAAACTTTTGAAGTTAACAAAAGTTGCGCCAAAGGCCGAGTTGCGCGAAAAGTTTGGCGCAAATTAGCCACCCCCAAACTATTGCGCTATTGTACCTAGGTAGGGAAATATAGAGGTCAGGCACTTTTGTCAAAGTCTATGCGTTAGCCGATTAGAATTGTGTATTGCCGTGTTTTTTTGTTTGCAGTTTTTCATTTCTTTAAAATAATTTGTTTCATTTAGATGCCGACGATATGCTTTCGATGTGGAGAACCGGGCCACAAGAAAAAGGATTGTCGCCGGAGTGAAGCAAGTGGTCAACGACGTCCCTATGGCAATGAACGGAACAACACTCTGAATCACCCGGAAGATTTCACGCCAGACAGAAATGATGATAACTCGAGAAGACACGGAGATCAAGGACGTTCAACTCATCATGATGGCTATCGAGTGCATGGAAAAGGAAACTACGGAAACTATCGTGCGAACAGTCAACCCTGGAGAAGTCAAGCAAGGAAACAAGAGCCACAACATATTGAACGGCAAAGGTTGGGTTTTATTGAATGTTGATTTTAAAAGTGGTACTTACTATTGAAGTATCCGTGACTGCGGTATTTTTCCATTTTGAACAAAAGAGAGCTCTGTAATCTGCCTCCTTTGGACCGTTTAAAGCAAACACTCTAACCAAAATAATGTAAAAAAATCAACCAAAAAAAAATCGAGCAAAATCCACTCACCAAAATGAAGCGAGCGTCTCCCGTGATTCACAGATGGGCTTTTGATAGTCCCATGGAGTGCCATCAAGCCAAGACCAGGCTCCGTTTACCTATATGATCTTTGCTTTCTTTTGCTTTGCATTTTGAACCGCTTTTATGGGATTACTTTTTGGGCGCCAATCATAAAGAGTCCCGCAACACTCCAGCCGTCTCCATCTTTACGAAAAAGAGCAATCCGAGTCACAGCAAAGATCTATGAATCGTTAAGATATAAGCCTTTACATTAAAGGGCCACTTGAGATGAAATCGTCTTCGGCTTCGCTATTGCCTGGAAGGCTAGATGCCCGCCCTGAAGGCTGACACAATAGGCTTCACCCTGTGAGTAGGAGCTATCGAAGAAGACCTGAAATCAAAAGAGCTGCTATGATTGAAGTCATTTAACCGACCAAGTAGTAGAATCCAGTTGCTGGAAAGTACTGCCACCCTTTTGACCAGTTGTAAAGCTGTTTGCTGAGCAGCGGAAATAAAGTTGAGTTGAGGGAGGAAAAGGCTCTACCTGGAAGGCAGTTGAGTGAGGTGTCATTGTAGGGGAATTACTCCTGCCAGCCAATGATGCTGTGGTTTCCATGGTGGTCATTGGTGGATCACTTGCAGCCACCTTTTACAATTGAGGTATGTTGCACCTATAGGACTTGGCTTCTCTGAGTTTGCCTTACAGCTCACATAAATGGTAGTTGATTAGCACAGTTGACGGTCACCCAAGCAGCGATTCCCGTTGAATCACCACACACTCTAGCTGTGGTTCACCTAAATGATAAAAGTGACCACTCGGAATCTATATGTAGTTAATTTATGTAGTTAAACAGCTTATAACTAGAAATGGGTTTGGCTCAATTTTAACAGAAATCGGCATAGTATTACCATTCTTCCAATTCGTGTAGTCAAACGCTGTCCCATCAGTCCACACATAAATGCTCGCATTTTTCTTTGCCTCCGATGTAGAACTGATCTCGCCGTTTATTACTAAATCAAGTTTTTTTATAAACATAGATTTGTCCTACATGTATACGAAATTTGGGTCAAAAAGTTATCCGTCTCTGCGTCGTGAATTGAGAAAAGATGTCCGTCAAACGCCTTGCAATACTTCTCTGCCAACAAAGCGGAAACAACTAAATCGACTTCTTCAAGATCACATAAAAAAACGAGCTATACTATACTATGATCGAATACAAACGGTTATTATCCGCATGGAGGCATGAATTCAGCTCCTGGATGTACCTCGACCCAGCAGGGCAGGCAATAGCTAAAATCTCTCTATTAGTATGTTTGCCTACAAATCATACGTGTTTGTGTGACGTCACAATTTGGAGTTGTCACATTTGGCAATTGACAGAGATACGGTAGATTGGCTGTACAGTCAATCGTTCGCCAGTTGTAGTCATTCGAGCTCAAGTACATGCAATCACCGGTCGATGGTTGCCCTAAAGTTCTTTTGTTATAGGTAATTTTATGAAAGATATCTAGTATTTCAATAAAAGCACAGAAACCGATTACCTGGTGCCCATTTTGCATAGGTGATAAGGTGCCGTCGCTCCATACCAGCTCCCGTTTTGTGCCTTCCGGACCACCCAACCATCCATTTGTTTATCGGTCCCTAAAGGGAAATCATGAAATACAAGAGCCAAGTCAAATTGTCGACTTGTCAACTGAATTCCGGCGATCAGGACATTGTTGAAAGCATTTGATAGAGAGAGCAGATGACCTCCAAAAGCCTGGCAGTACATCTCTGCGTACGCCATTGGAGAAACTGAATGGATTAGTGGATTTTCTAGGCGTGACATCATAAAATTATCTAACTTGTGGTAATTTACATTTATGCAAAAGATACCATCGTTGTCTGGATGGTACAACGCCAAGGTCCTCGACAAGGAACGAGTCTCCTGGGACAATTTTGTTGAAGTGAAGACCTCAACGTTACGGCCAGAAGTACCAGCATATGCTCTCATCGCCGATCTACCAAAAAGTGTAGAAATTTTATTTACAAGAGGCTTTTCTATGATTGGCGTATCATAAAACATTGGAGCCTCTTTTTTACAAAGGGATGCCTTATCAGGCTCTCATTGTCGCCTCAAATTTATACTAAAAAGCGTTTTTGCACTCGATATCTGTTGGTTAAAAGCTAGAATATTTATGAATCATTTCATTGATTATGTATACATCTAAACATTCTTTTGCTCATCTCGTGATTTTAAGAACATTTAGATTCGAGATGGATTGATTAAAAAGACTAAAAAGTGTCGAGAAAAGTGACTGAGCACAGTTTGATATGTGACTGAAAGCACATTTTGCATGAAAAGCACTTTATTGTTCTTTGAAACTGTACAAGTTGTGTAAAATTGAGAACAAAAAGAGAATGGGGTGAGCTTTTGCGAAACACAGTTTTTTGCACCTTTTCTTTGCAATATTGTGGTCTTTTCGATAAGGGATCTTCATTATTCTATTCGAAAAGCTTTTGTATTTTCCCTCAATGCCATGTACTTTTTGAGATTGGCCACAAATTGATCATGTAAGATCAACCAGATCATGTAAGATTAGCTAGAATTCGAGAAAGGAGTACTCCAAGCGGATGCTCATAGTCAGCTACCTTAAAATCACTAGTTATCAGAAAATTTTATACTTTTCAGGTCCGAAATTGAAAAACTAAAGAACAAGAAAAGTAAATTTGATCTGGCCCAGAAAAACTTTATGAAACCAACCTGGAATAACTCTTGATTTTCCAATAACAAATATGGCAACAGTTTTCTTCTTTAGGAAATGCTTAGTGACCACATCAATGCCATCTTCGAGCAGCCCGAATGCCCGAATGTCGAAGGTCAGATATTGTCACTTACTTGCCTTCCACTAGCTGGTGCAAATGAAATTGTAGCCTCTGCCATTTTGGCCAAAACAGTTTTAGCACTAGGAGTACCACCAATAGCCACTTCAGTTTTTCTAAAATTCGGTTTGAAAGGACCTTTTGAGACAGCCTGTAGATTGTCAGCCAGCTGATATGGATGATTGGCATATTGACATAACTCATTGGTGAGAAAATTGCAGTTGCTTTTGAGTTTCAGTTTGTCACAACTCCCATGAATACCACAATATCATCACAAATTGTCGCCGTCGTTTTGATCTTTGCCAGATGTGAAGCTGGGAACTTAAGTTGGCCGAACTACCGACATAAGTGCTTTTAGTCTATGCGTTTGTCAAAGTCTACATGCGTTAGCCGATTAGAAT